GGGAGAAGGCCACAGTGTGTGTATTTCTTATATATTTGTATATAAATGTACAAATAGGTGTGTATTTTGATACATTTTTGTAGAAATACATGTATATTTTGATATATTTACATAGAAATACATGTATATTTTGATATATTTACATGTCTGTGTTTCTGCACACGTCTGTATTTTCTTAGCAGTGCCGCTCCCGGTGCGCGGAGCACGGCGTGCCCGGGTAACCCTCCCCTGGTCATCGGCGGCCCCTCGGGCACAGCCCAGAGCCGTCTTTTGGTGCCCTGTCCTGGGGCTCCTTCCCTTCTTTGCATGGTCCTGGGGTGCCCGTGGCTCAGCGGTGCAGGGAGCCGGGTGCCATGAGGACGTTCACCTTCAGCACGAGTAAAATTGGTTTTCGGCACAAATAAACGCCACCAAGATGTAGGACACGATGCGCGTGCCTCGAACTGCCTGGGGGTGTGGGACGAAGCGTCCCCTTGCTCGGCGTGGTTTCGGTGCATCTTCTTTGTGTTTCTCCAGAGCTGCTCTGCCCAAAATTAGCAGGGGCTTGTACACCAAATGGGATGTGGTGCATCCCATCCCATCCCTCCCTGGTCCCTCCTGCTCCTCTGAGCTCGGATTAAATTGCAAGGCCTTACTTAGGGGGAAGAGAGAAGCTTAGAGAGGTGTTGCATGTTGCAGGGAGGATGGTTAAGCTCATTCTGTCCCCTTTGGTGAGGAGGGGTTTGGGCTGTGCTCCCCTGTTAACCAGGGAGGAATTTGGGTGGTATTCTTCATCTTTAAACACCAGGCGCTTCTCCTGACGCACCCCGTCTCTCCTAGGTCAGCATGATCCCGGGGCACGGGCCGGTGATCCAGTCGGTGCTGGGAACCTTCCTCACCTGGGGGCTGACGGCGGCCGGCTCGGCGCTGGTGTTCGTGTTTTCCAGTGGGCAGGTGGGTGCCGGCATCACGTCCTCTGTCCCAGGAGGCGAGCGGGGTCCGTCGCAGAGGGCTGCGCTGTGCTCGCGGGTGGGCTTGGCTGCCTGGGCCTGAGCGTGAGAGACTTGACGTTGGCCCTGGGAGGTCCTGGGGCAGGAGGAGGAAAAATCCAGCTCATTTCTCTCCTGTGTGTCAACACAGAGGAGAAGTAAATCAAATTCCCGACCCCAGGCTGTGGTATGTGCTGTAGCGCAGCTCACAGCATTCGGGAGATGGGGCAGAGCCGCAGGCAGGGCTCTGTGTTTGGAACAGCAGGTTCTCTTCCTGTAACCTACTTTCTCTGGTGCAGGATTCGGGTCAGCCCGTGCTCAGAACGAGCAAAGTGCTGATCATTAAGTCATCTTGTATTCCAAAATTAGAGGTCCCCCATGCTGTTGTGTTCAAAATTGCCCCGATGAATTTATTATTTATGCCTCTCTTGTGATGATTTATTCAGGAGTTTTTTGCAAAGTGAGATTCCCTTTGCAGTCACGCGTTGGCTTTCTTGGGGAAGGGCAACGTGCTAAAGAAGAAAAACTGCACCGGGAGTGAAGTGGGCAGGATACGTGCTGGGTTACTGGCAGACAAATGACTTAGTTTACGGGGGCCTGTTGTTAGAGGAATCAAAATTTTCAAGGAGAGGGAAATGCAGGGCAGTGTGCAGACATGACCAGGAGAGTCTGATTTACCTTTCTGCATCCTCAGAGCATTTTGGCTTGGGCGGTGGATGTGCCGGAACCTGGTCCGGGTGGCATCAGTGGTTTGATGTACTGGGGAGGAAGCCAGGACGTGCTGTAGGCTGTCAGTGATGGTGGGATGCCATCACCCAGGATGGTGGACTCCTGTGTGAGGAGCGCAGCTCTTGCCTTAAGGCACAGAAATCGCTTGGGTTGCAGAGATGGGGAGAAGAAAGTTATGTCAGTGTGTCAGCGGTGCAGCTGGCTTCCCCACGCTGCGCAGTTTGTGGTGGTGTTGCACTGCGCCGCTTCTGCCATGAGTAAATGGTGTGTTTTGTGTGTGTGTTTTTTTGTTTTTTTTTTTGTTTGCAGAGGCGGATCCTAGATGGGAGCTTAGGCTTCGCCGCAGGGGTAAGTACAGCATCCTTCTACTCCTTGTCTCTGCCTGTGTTCTCCTGCCGACACCACTGAAGCTCTGCCACGCTTCGTTTGGTTGCCCGCTCGAGTTAGTGTTTCTTGGATAATTGCCTGAGGTGCAGGTGGGGCAGGGAAGAGCATGGTGTGGTGCTGGTCACGTCTTGTCATGTCTCGGTGCCTCTTCAGTGAGGGTGGAGGTGGAACGAGGAGGGTCACGAGGGCGTCGAGCTGCCCATGCTGGATTTGGCCCTCTTGAGTTAAAATCTTCTCATTTCCTTGGGCTTCTGAATCATTCCTCTTGGAGCACTGGTACGATGAAGATGGGCAGGAGAGTCCTTGTCCTGGAGGCTAATGTGCATAGTTTGCTTTGTGCATCTTGCTCTCCTGCAGAGCATGGGTGCTTTAAGCCCTTGGGAGAAGGGGAAATGAAGACACTGCAGTTCTCCATCAAGGGTGAACATGAAATGTGGGGTTTATTGCATCCTTCTTGAAGGAAGACATGAAACTGTGTGGCTTGAAATCATGTTGGTGCTTGTGGATGTAGACCTTCTCCTGCTGCCCAGCTGCTGGGGAGCAGGTGGAGGCTCATGCAGACTTGTTAAATCACATTTATTTTCCTTCAGGTGCTGGAGTGTGTCTGAGAGCCTGGGGGATGTGTTCTGGGTGGAAGGTGCATCTTCCCGGGGTGTGTGGTGGGCGCAGTGGGGCGCAGGGCTCTGCCAGGCTCCGCTCGCTGTGTCCCAGCTGTGTAGCTGGCACCTGGAGCGTGGGTGATGCTGCCAGGTTTTGGAGTGAACCACAAACCTGTCAGCATGAGCGATCTGTCCTGCAGCATGCAGTAACGCCGAGGCTGTGTGTGGAGTGGGACTCCTTCTTCCCGGTGCACCCTCAGATGCTGCGATGCCACTGATCAAGGTGCAGTTTGACTGTTTGCAGCTCTGGAGATCACAGGTCTTCTGCTGTTCCCAAAGCCTGAAGCAAACCCAGCTGCACGGAGCAAGAGCCTGCCACGGTGGGTGACATGAGATGCTGCAAAGCTCGGTTTGCTCCCTAGCAAGCTTTCCTGGGATGTGCCTGCAACCTGCTAACGATGTGAATAATTCAACTCGTCTGCTGTAGTGGATTCTCAGGCCATCATTTATAAATGAATCACTTGCGTTAGGAATTGCCCGTTCTGGACTTTTCCTCTGTGGTTTGATTTCCGAGCTGTTTTTCTCTGGAAGACACACCCTCGTCCCTGCAAGCCAAGTTGGAGCCACTTCGGTGGTGTCGGGGAGATGCTGCTGGGGACAGCGTGGGCTGGGCTGTCCCCTTGCCGTGGCATCGCTGTCTCCCGAAGCAGCTGGTGCCACTGTCCTGTGGCCGGGGAGGTCCCAGGGCGTGGCGGGGTGTTTGCCCTGGCTGAGGGCTGGCTCGGGTGCTGCCCCGGCACGGCGCGATGCTGTCCTTGCCACGGTCACTGCGTCACCCTGCCAGGAGCACTGAGTCATCCCTGCGCAGCAGAGGTGTGGCTCGGCTGGTGAAGCAGAAGTCCTGCGAGTGTTTGCTTTTCCTCCAGCTTCTTTCCATGTGCTGTGCTTGGAGTAGGAAAGGGGAATTTTTTCTGGGGTTGCTGCAGTGTCTGGAGGGGAATGTTGGCGAGGAAACCTGCGGTGGCAGGCTCCTGCTGGCAGAAGGTGCTGCCGCATAAACCACTCACGAGCTGCAAATTCTGAAGGATTCTAGGTCGTGTTTATGGGCCCGAGCTGCCAAAGCAGGTGCTGGCGGGGGTGAGCTGCTGGTGTCACCCAGTGTCACTGCAGCCCTGCGCTGATGCTGCCTGGCCAGGACCGGCTCTTTCAGAGGAAGGTGCCAGAGACCCCCAGGAGACTGTGCCACGGTTGCTTCCAGGGCTGCTGGGCTCACTGGGAGCAGGTCCTTGCTCAGTGGTCGAGTCTGTGGGTGGCAGTGGTGTGGCAAAAGCACCAGAGGCTGGAACTTTTATCTTCTTCTTTGCTTGGTTCACTCCAGATGTGCCTGTAGCTCTTTGCCTTGTGCCTGACGAGGGGCTGGCGTGTGCCCCTGCGAGGGCTGCGCTCGACCCCGCACCCTGTGCGGCTGCCCGGGCCGAGGAGGGGTTTGCTGGGTGTTACCCCCAGGCAACAGGATCCCCCTGAGTTTTTAGTGGAGCTTTTCTCTTCCCAGCTGGGCAGTGTTGTCATCGCTTGACTGGCAGTGTGACTGGTCATGCCTCTTATCTCGTCCTTACCTGAAAAGGTTTAATAATGAGAAGTGTTCTCCTCCCTCTGCAGGCAGGGGAAGTGCTGGAGATGTGTGTGCTTGCTGTCTTTGCAAAGAGTCCTTGGAGAAGCTGGAGGAGAAACCACCTCTTGACCTGGCCCTTCGGTGGGAGGGACCGTGGCCAACTCGTGGCTCCCTGCGCACGGGTGGAAGTGGGATGGTGGAGGTGGGACATGGTGCTGGAGCTAAGCAGATGATGTACCCGAGGCTGGCTGTGCCTGGAGAGAGAACCCGAATGGGCTGTGAAGTCCTCCTGGCTGGCTGCGACGAGGGGCCGATCCTGCCTCAGCCAGGCTTCTGCTGCAAAACCGGCGTTGGGGAACCTCAGGAGCAGCGCGGGCTCTCTGGGTTTTGGCAGGCTGGCTTTGTGTAGGAGGAAAAGTAGGATGCGGAGCAGCCGGTTCTGAAACCTATTTGTACTTTTTTTTTTTCTCTCCTCCTCCTCCCTGTAAGAAGTGTTTCTTCAGACAGTGACATTGCTCTGATCATGGACTACTTCTCTTGCTCTAAGGGATTTCTGTTTAAAACACTGTGTCTTTGATGTAGATCTCTTGCAGATAGGCATGGGCTGGTTCTCTGAGCACTGGGGTAGAGGCGAGCAGAACTTAACTTCCTCTTTATCTCCGCTCTGAAATCTGGGCTGCTGGGTTTAATTAAACTTCCCTTGTGTTCTGTCAGAGCCAGCAAACCTCTTCCTGCACTGTTGGAGGCAGGTAGTTGCTTCAAATCTTGCTGTTTTGGTTCTTAGCTGCAGATCCCCGATAGTCATCTGAGTTCCGGGGAGTGTGCACGGTGCTCTCCAAGACCAGGATTGCTGGTAAAACGGGTTATAATAGACGGTTGTCTCTCCTGTTGGTGATGATTTGCCTACTTGTCTTCCGGGAGCTTGTAAAGCAAAATAAAACCAGAATTGACTAAAAACTTCTCTGCCACTGCCGAGTCAGGAGGAGGACATGGATAGGGATGTTCAGGTGACCTTGAGGAGGACGGTCCGGGATGCAGAGTGTTAGTTTGGGATCCAGAAAGCCGCGGCTCGGTGCTGCCTTCTCCGCAAACGTGCCATCTGATCTGGGGGAGCCGGTGTAAGCCTGGGCACATGGTCAAGTTGCTGTGCCCTGAGCTGGGGCGTGCTGGGAGAGCTGCCTGCGTGTGCTGGGAGCACCCCAACTGCAAAGCAAAATCCCCTTTTGGCACGGCTCAAGTGGACTAAGTCCGATGGCACAAATGTCACCTTGGCTGACGGGGACCCATGCGGCTGGTTGCTGCGGCACAGAGGAGCTCAGCTTCTTCCAGCGCGGTACCTCCGCTTGGGTGTCGGAGCATTTAGCTTCTCTCTGCCTCGGTTCCTTTCCTGGAAATCACAGATAATAGAGGGTTTTGTATGCAAAAGCCTCTGAGGTGATGTGTTTCCATGGAGACAAGGCTTCGCTTGCTTGGGCATCTGATGTGGAATTCTGCTTTTCTCTTAAACCTTGATAAATCTTAAATAAGACCTTTTTCAGATGTTATCGTGGTGTTATCCTGGAGGTGCGGCACACTCAGACTTCATAAATGCTACCTAAACACTTGCAGTCCTCCTTCCCTGCAGCCTCGCATAGATACTCCTCTTACTGGGTCGCAGTTTGATTTCTCCTCTCCCAGGTGAAGCAGAAAATCATAAAGACACACTCTTTAAACTGCACCAGGCATGTCTGGTATTGAATATTCCCTTTCAGTGCTGCTTAAAACGGCATCAGTAATTTACGCGGGTCTGCTGAGGCTGGTTCTCGTTGTTGGAGCCTTGATGAAGTCAAGTGAAAAAGTTTGGCGGGGAAAATGTCCTGCCAGTCTCTCACCTTCCACTTTTCTTTCCTGCCCTGCCAAGGGGGTCTCCTTTGCTCGTAAGCAGCCTGGGTTTTCTGATCCGCACGCCGTTAATGTGGCTGCTTCCCTTGAAGCTGCCGTTCTCATCTCGATGATCCCGCAGGAGTGTGGCGCGAAGCTGCAGCAGACGAGACATGAGGGCTTTAATTTTAATGTGACGGTGTGATACCAGACTGGGATGTGCAGGGGCTCTTCCCCTCGCCCTGGGGTCCAGCAGGGCCAGCTGTGACTGGGGATGAAGATCACTGTCCTGATTGTTCTGTATTTGCAGAAAATAAAGCTCCTGTGTGGCTCTGAAGCTGGGGCGGTGCTGGCTCTGCAGTCCAGGTGGGGAGGAGTGCTGGCAGCGCAGCGTTTGGGAGAGCAAAACTCTCAAACCCCCCAAAAATCGGACACCTGCATCGAGCCCCTGCCCAGAAGGAGATGCTGGTGCCCAGGGCTCAGCGATGGAGACCCGTCAATCCCTGGGAGTGGTGTCAGGGCACGTTGTGGTTATAAATCCTGCTGCCTGGCACTTTTTGAGGGTTTCCCATCAGCGTGAGGACACAGACCTGGGTTCAGTCATTTTCTGTGGTGCAAGGCAGTCGGGTTTGGAGCCTGGGTTTTGTCTTCGATTACGCTGATGTGTCCCAGGGAAGGGTTTGGGCTCCCCGTAACCCGGGAATACTTTAGATACGCAGCTGCCTTCTGCATACTTTCTCCTCCCCATCAACCGCAGCTTGTTTTCCCAAGAGCTGGTAGATTTACGGTGTTGTTGCATCTCGGCTTTGGAGCATGAAGTCTCTTTGCAAAAATGTCCAAATCCAGTTTGGCAGGAGGCATGTGTCCCAGTGCCAGTGAGCTGGCGCACTGTGGATCCCTGCTCCCCGTCTTGGCTGGACTGAGCAGGGCTGGGGCGAGGGGAAGGCTTTGTGCAGAAAATCATACCCTCTGCTGAAGTGGCTTCATGTTTTGTGGATCTGAGGAGAGCCCAGGCAGGCTTTTTCTCTTTTTATTCCTGCCTTTGACACCAGCTTGCTTGGTAGCATTGGTGGGATTTGTGTTCCTGTCCCTTGGCCGGACAATTACAAAGATTTGAAATAGGGTGTGATTTTTTTTTTTTGTTGTTGTGGTTTTTTTTTTGGTTTTTGGGTTTTTTTTTTGTTGTTACTTAAATCAGGTTGCTGGCAGAGATCCTCACCCTTTTTGTTAGCTCATGAGCATCGTCTGCTGAACCAGGAGGGTAAGTGCCAGCTCTGATGCTGAACAGGGTGGGCAGGAGCTAGCACCCTGCAGCAGGACCTTGGCTGCTCCCAGGCAAGCCCATGTCCCTAAACCCACACCTGAGCTCGGAGATGGGCTGAGGGGAGGCGGGGGGACATTGTCACTTCTGGTGGCTGCAGGGCAATGGCTTCCAGTTCTCCCACTAAGTGGGGTCAAGGGGTTTCTCTGCATAAAGGGGTGTAGGAATAAATGGCTTTTCCTTCCCAAGCAAGTGGAGGTGGTTGGTGCAGCCCAGCAGTTCATTCCTTCAGCTTGGTGGAGCTGAAGCTCTGTCACCATCTTCCCCCGGAGCCCGTGTACAGCGAAGCTGGTGGGAGCTCTGCTGCTGACTTCGGTGGTGACGGGATCTGGAGGCTGAGCAGTGTCAGGCCTCTGTTTTCCATAGGGAAATGATATCTTAACATAAGATGACAATATAATTCTGCAAAGCCTTTCCCTGTTGCTTGTGTTTCTATGTTGGGGTGTGTGGTTGTTTTTTAAAGGAGGTGGCATTTGAAATATGAAGTTTGACAGCCGTAGTTAAGCCTGACATGACAGCCTGCTCTCTTCTTACTCATAGTGAGCTGAGATTTACACGATCCCTCAGGGGCTGGTGTCTACAGCAATAGGCATCTCGTTCCTTCGTCAAAAGTGATTTAAAGTGTAATAGTTTGTTACGCACTTCTCTTCCGTGGGCAAATACTTTTGCCCTGAGAGCAAGCTGAGCAGCATCTCTCCTGAGCACCCTGCAAATGGGACTTTGTGGGGTGCTCGGGGTGGGGGGTTGCTGGATGGAGAGGTGGAATCACCTTTCCTCGCAGCATCTGTCCTGCTGCTGTATCCGGGCTCGCTTTGTTTGTTCCTGCTGGATCCTGATGCCGCACCCCTTTCTCTGTTGGAAGCACGGCGAAGGGGAGCGTCCCTGCTCACAGGCAGGGCTGGGAGGGAGCTCGGACCATTGCCTTGCCCGCCCCGAGGCAACACGGACCCTGCCCGTCCATGGCAGGGCAGCGGGTGCCACCGCTTCTCTGCCCTTGCTGGTACACACCCTTTCCCAAAGCCTGCTGCAGATCTCAGTGTGGTTTTTAAGCCCATCTGTGCTTGTGTTGCTGACTGGCTTCCTCCTGGTGTGTGATGGGACCGGTCCCCAGAGCTGGGCACAGCTGAGCTCCTGCGGAGCTGAACGGCTGCAGGGACAGAAACCGGGGCCAAGGCTGCTGCTGAGGGCATTGCACTGGGCTGATGACTTTTTAATTAACCCAGCCTGGTATGTTGAGTAGCAGAGGAGAGGAAGAGATAAGGTGATAAAATGCATGTTAATATTATGTTCTTTAGTACAAGCTTGTGAAACTGGTGCCTTGCTTGGCTTTCTGTTCTCCACACTGGGTAACACCCTGAGCAACCAACTCTGAAGCAGGGCTGGATTGGAGATCCCCACAAGTCCCAAATTCTGTTTTTCTATGGTCTGTTGGGTAGCTGTTCCTTCTCCCTCCCTGCTAAGCAGCAAGCAAGGAACAAAAGCACTCTGCTACTGGAAGGGTTAATTTTTCTGGTGCAAACTGTGTTGGTAAAACATGCCCATAGGACTTTGGCAGCGCTGGTCTGTGCCGGGAGCCAGCATGTTGCTGTTTGGGATGGGAATTTGTTCTCCTCCCAGCCTGGGTGCTCCGACGGGGCTGCTCGGACAGGAACAGCCCAAGCGTTGGTCCGTGAAGAAGCAGAGGAGTTGCAAAGCCCCCAGCCTGGGTCTGGGGTGGCGTGGCAGGGACCTTGGCAGCTAAACCGCAGTAAGCTTAAACCAGCGTAGCGAAGCCTTGGCGTGCCCTCAGCTAGCTTGGAGGTGGCTCTTTAGCTCCAGGCGTTATCCGATATTTATTCTCCTGCATGAGATGAAGGCTGTGTTTCCTTCCTCCCCTGCCCGTGCTGCGGAGAAGCCCAGAGCTGGGTGCAGGGTGGATGTGGTTCACCCTGGCTTTGGGATGCAGAGGAAGAGTGCGGTGGCCGGTGGGGTCTTGGAGTCCTGTTGCTGCAAAACAGTCGAGGGGACGGTGTTTTTTCTGCTGCTGTGCTGCTGTCACCATTCTTGTTTGAAGGACTGTTGTGGCTGTGCTAATCCCACAGAAGATCTTCTGAATGAGCTCATGTGGTTTGTTCGCTGCTTCATACTTTTGGGTCAAGAAAAATACTCTTGGTGAAAATGAGGGAAAACCTCATTTCTCCATCCTTCAGCGATTCGGTCCGTTGGGAAGCGGGTTTTGATGGCTTTGCTGGGTTGCAATGGCCACGCAGCTCGTCTCCTTTGGTTTCTTTGGCTGGAGGGTGGGCTGCTGGTGGAGCTGCCTGCGGCGCTGCCGTGCTGCAGCTGGTGTCGGATCCTCACGGCATCGGTGCCTACGTGGTTCTCACCGCTCCCCTTCTGTCTCCCAGGTCATGCTGGCTGCTTCCTACTGGTCCCTCCTGGCCCCGGCCATCGACATGGCCGAGGAGTCCGGTAGCTTCGGAGCCTTCGCTTTCTTCCCGGTGGCCGTGGGCTTTGCTCTGGGAGCAGCTTTCGTGTACTTCGCCGACCTGCTCATCCCGGCGCTGGTAAGTGGGCGTTCCTGGGCTGGGGGCTTCTGCTTTTCCTCCGGCTGTGCTGTGGCAGAAGCCGGATACAGATTGGTTTCTATCACAGATCTAATGAAACTGCGTTTTCTCCAAGACCCTGGGTGGCTCTGCCAGGGCTGAATGCAGCTTTAGGCTGTCTGTGCTCTTTCTTCTTCTTCTTTTTTTTTTTTTTTCTTTTCACGCTTCTGCTTTTGTTTTTTTCACTGGCAACACTTTGCAAACAGTTCAGGTGTGACCTTCTGTTTCAGCCCAGGGGTTTAATTTGCAGACCTGTCAACATTCTAAGCATTTCAAAATTGAATGAACCATCCTATTGTTGAAGAGTATTATTAAAAAAATAAATAAATGGGAAGCTGTTGGAGTTTTACAGCTGAAAACACAAGAATGGCTTAGTCAGTAAAGATATTTTGAAAATCTTCCAAGGAACTTTTAAAATTTTTAATTTATTTTAGTGGGAGGGGGGATTATCTGTGGCTATGAGTAAGGAGCGCGAGGCTTTGCATTTGAAGAGCGTACAACTGCTTACCCCCGCGTCCCCGCAGCATCCGCCTTCCCCGCTCCCGTGCTTTTTGAGCCTCTCGTAACAGGTACAGTCAAACGCATCCTCAGCTATGAAGAAAATCGCTTGATATTATGGTGTGTGACTTCCAGTGCAAATGGATGCATTAGAGTAAAGAACAAATAAATGAAACGACAGCGGTGCCAGACGGCTGAAAGCTTGGCCCCGCTCCGTGCTCTCTGCCTGCCTGTGTCCCGGCTCTTCCCGGGCCTCCCGAACCCTTTGCGGGGGGCCGGGGGCTGCCGTTGGGTAGCTGGAGCTCTTGGAAGCTGGTTGCCATCAAACCCTCCTTTTTCTTCTTCTGCTCTCGGTAGCCCGAGGTCTCTTGCCTGCGTGGGGCGTAGCGGCGATACGAGGTGCTGGATGGGGCCCGGGGTGTATTTGATCAGCTGCCTGAAGCTGATGTTTCCCAACAGGGAAGACAAACAGTTGCACCACAAAACCCGCTTCTTCCTGATGGCTGGCGTTCTTCTCCGCTGCCTTTCGAAATGGG